ATTTGGAAGCAGCCCAAGTATGTGAGCACCGAGGAGAGCATTAAGTTAATGTAAATAGTTTCTGTTTTGCAAACTGAACTCCAGCAGATAATATTAGATGACTGTACATTTTATGGGAGAACACATTTAATAATACATGTGTGTGTGAGATGGGGAGAGAGAGGGGGGAGGGAGGGAGAGAGAGAGAGAGAGAGAGAGATATCAGAATCTACACCATGTCTAAACACAGAGTATAACAGAGTATAATATATATATATAGAGAGATAGACAGAGATAGATAGATAGATAGATAGATAGATAGATAGAGAACAATATCAGAATCTACGCCATGTCTAAACACAGAGTATAAGAGTATAGATATATGTAGATATAGAGATAGATAGAAAGATAGAGAGAGAGAGAGAGAGAGAGAGAGAGAACAAGATCAGAATCTACACCATGTCTAAACACAGAGTATAAGAGTATAGATATATACATATAAAGATATAGAGATATATAGAGATAGATATAGATAGAGAGAGAAAACAAGATCAGAATCTACACCATGTCTAAACACAGAGGATAGATAGATAGATAGATAGATAGATAGATAGATAGATAGATAGATAGATAGATAGATAGATAGATAGATAGATATAGAGAACAAGATCAGAATCTACACCATGTCTAAACACAGAGTATAACAGAGTATAGATATATATAGAGAGATAGAGATAGATAGATAGATAGATAGATAGATAGATAGAGATAGATAGAGCGAGAACAAGATCAGAATCTACACCATGTCTAAACACAGAGTATAACAGAGTATAGATATATATAGAGATAGAGATATAGATAGATAGATAGATAGATAGATAGAGAACAAGATCAGAATCTACACCATGTCTAAACCCAGAGTATAACAGAGTATAGATATATATAGAGATAGAGATAGAGAGAGAGATAGAGATAGATAGATAGATAGATAGATAGATAGAGAGAGAGAGAGAGAGAGAGAGAGAGAGAGAGAGAGAGAGAGAACAAGATCAGAATCTACACCATGTCTAAACACAGAGTATAACACTCTGGCAAGCTTTGCGAGGCCCATAAATTCCTCCGGCAGGGGCTGAACCAGGGGTGTCGCAGCTGGGTCACCGAACACACATCCAGTCAGCTGGGTCATAAAACACAGATTATTCCATCATGCTGATGGAAGCCCAGAGGGATAAAACTACATTTGCCAACCATGCCACGTTACTAAGACTTGTTTCAAAGCAAGAATCAGTCCAGAACACTTTCGCCTTGTTTCCTCAAAGAACTGCGCGGCCGCGTCACCCACAAGGTTGCATTTCTACGTGTCCCCCCAGCTCTATAAAAGGCAGACAGTCACAGTCGCTAAAATAAATTAGGACCCCCTCCCCTTGCCGACATGGCTGATAATAATGAAAGCTTCTATGCAGCTATTGACTAAAGAGGGCAGGGAGTCATTCCTGGGTCTGATACGTTGCTGAATTCAGTTCTGCCGAATTCTTGGATTCCACTTCAGCTCCCCGGATACATAAACAGCGACCCCATTAAAATGATTAATAATAATAATAATAATAATAATAATAATAATAATAATAATAATAATAATAATAATAATAATAATAATAATAATAATAATAGTAGTAAAGTTGGAAGGGACCTTGAAGGTCATCGAGTCCAACCCCCTGCTCAGGCAGGAAACCCTATACCATTTCGGACAAATGGCTGTCCAGTCTCTTCTTAAAAACTTCCAGTGTTGGAGCATTCACCGCTTCTTGAGCAGGTTGTTCCACTGGTTAATTGTTCTCACTGTCAGGAAGTTTCTCCTTAGTTCTAGGTTGCTTCTCTCCTTGATTAGTTTCCATCCGATGCTTCTTGTCCTGCCTTCAGGGGCTTTGGAGAATACCTTGACTCCCTCTTCTTTGGGGCAGCCCCTGAGATACTGGAACACGGCTATCATGTCCCCCCTCGTCCTTCTCTTCATCAAACTAAATAAATAAATAAATTAAATCAGTTGATTGCTGATTGCCAAGTTTAACGCAGCTTGAGTTAAGGACATTTGTGCTACATCAGGGGGTGTCAAACTGCCCGCCCGCGGGCCGGACGTGTCACGTGGAAGCTGCGCCCATCCCATTGCCGGCAATGGCAAAACCGGCCCGATACGTTGCATGACGTCACGTGAAGTCACGAGATTGACATGTCTGTGTTACGTTGTCTTAATGCAGTACAATTTTTGTGCATAGTTACACAGAAACAAGACCCATATTATCGTCAGAATCATAGCCCAAGTGAATAATCCACTGGGCTAACACATACAACAGATTTCCTACAAAGATCAAAATAAAACATCAGATCCTACATTAAAAATTCAGCAAAGAGCAGATGATTGGAGAGAAGCAGAAGCTCAGCAAAGGTTTGCAAAATGCCTGCTGATTTCTCCTTGTGAGAATCACTTAAATATGAGCCAGTCGTGTGCTGCAGCTGCCAAAAAGGCCAACACAGTGCTGGGCTGCATTAACAGAGGGATAGAATCAAGATCACGTGAAGTGTTAATGCCACTTTACAAGGCCTTGGTAAGGCCACACTTGGAATACGGCATCCAGTTTTGGTCACCGCGATGTAAAAAAGATGTTGAGACTCTAGAAAGAGTACAGAGAAGAGCAACAAAGATGATTAGGGGACTGGAGGATAAAGCATATAAGGAACGGTTGCTGGAATTGGGTATGTCTAGTTTAATGAAGAGAAGGACGAGGGGGGATATGATAGGAGTGTTCCCCTATCTCAGGGGCTGCCACAAAGAAGAGGGAGTCAAGATATTCTCCAAAGCGCCTGAAGGCGGGACAAGAAGCAACGGATGGAAACTAACCAAGGGGAGAAGCAACCTAGAACTAAGGAGAAACTTCCTGACAGTGAGAACAATTAACCAGTGGAACAACCTGCCTCCAGAAGTGGTGAATGCTCCAACACTGGAAGTTTTTAAGAAGAGACTGGACAGCCATTGTCCGAAATGGTGTAGGGTTTCCTGCCTTAGCAGGGGGTTGGACTAGATGACCTTCAAGGTCCCTTCCAACTTTATTATTATTATTATTATTACATTAATAATTCAGCAAAGAGCACATGGTTGGAGAGAAGCAGAAGTTCAGCAAAGATTTGCAAAATGCCTGCTGAATTCTCCTTGTGAGAAGCTGGGAAGAACATTGATGAAGTTATCTAGCTGGGTCTCAGCAAGAGGTTCCCTTCTAGAGGAATGGCCTTTTGGCATGGCCATCAGTGTCCCCCCCCACCCCAGCAAGGCACAAACCCATTGCTCTGAGCACCCACGTCCTTGTCCCTTGGGCTGCCCCCCCCGTCAACGCGAAGGGCGCTGCTTAGTCCCATTCTTCCTTATCTACCATAACTAGACCTAGCAACGGGGTGTGTTGCTCTTACAAATACTCTCAGCAAACACATGCTTAACGCTACAGCCAGCGGCCAAAGCGACAATGGCATCATTTATTCTTGTTAATTTCAAATTCCAAAGGAGACCGGCCTTCCTATACTCCCTTTTATTCTTTTAATGCGCCGTTCTATGCTTTTAAACCTTGAGCGTTTTTGACATAATGTTGCTTTGAGCTATAGAAAACAGATGCCAGAGAATATGCATTAAAACATCCCACTTAATCATTTCCAGTCCTGCGAATTACTTACCTCATCTCCAGTCACCAGTTCTTCCCTGGGACTGTGGAAAAGATACTCGTACAACGTATAATGTTGGAATAAGCTGAAAGACAAGAAAGTGGACGCTGAAAGCAATAAATTTCTGGGAGCATTCAGGGTTCACGTTGCTTCTAAAAAGAGGTTCTTTAACCGCAGAACCTAAGGCCCTAAAGCTCTAGCTAAATTTCATAATCCAAAACCAGTTTTTTTCTCTCTCTCTCGTTCACTGTTATAAAACCCTGCAGTGAGTTAATAATTCCCACTAAATGAAGAACTAAATCTGCAACAGAATTGTATAGCTGTGATTTCTGATCTGATTCACAAAGTTGTTGTTGCGATGGCGGAAAGCAAGAGGGCACGTCATCTTGGAGGGAAGGCATAAGAATAAATGCATTGTAGTGAGAAACGATGAGAACTTCGGGACGGAGCAGGACCATCTGCGAAGGCGCCAAGGCCTCAGAAGTAACTTGACCTCCTTTTGTCAAGTCAGGTTTTGCTGGCCCTGGTGGATCTGGGTTGATCCCGTCAGGATGGCCTTGGGATCTGGGCTTTCTGCCCCGGGGGAAAAGAACGTTTCTTTCTTTCTTTTTTTTGGGGGGAAACAAATTTTATTGGTTTTTTTAATTCTTAGAACAAAGTGCTCAAGACACACCGTGGTCCTGGGGTAATCAAACATCCAGAAATAAAACCATGTATGGATAACTCAAATCAATACATCAAATATTCCCTCTCTATTTCCCTCAAATCTATATAAATAAAAATGTAAATGTTCGTTTGTTCAAAATCTTAAATCTCCGAAAGTTCTTCACCGATTGCTTTGAAATTTTGACACAACGTTGCATTCGAATACGCGCGTGTTTTTATATACCTATATTATATAGATGTCACACCTGTGACAGGTAAAACATGCTTTTTTTGAAAAACAGCGCCATCTCTTGGACGTAAAAGCAACACACGCTTTTACCACACTGAGCCACAGCAAGGCGTGGCCGGGTACAGCTATAGCTTAATATATTTAAGATAATCCATTTCTAATTTAAATTTCTATTAATCCTAAACCTGTTTTAAAGCTTTATGAATTTACAATTACCATAATCAAATTTAATTTTAAATAAACACATTATCAATTCAGGTATCCCTTCCCGGTATATTCTAATTTCTTAATTTTATCATAAGTCTTGTTTATTTCTTCTTCCACTAATATCTCCTAATTAAAATAAAATATTAGTCTATCCTATACATATCTAATCCATCCATCAATCAATCAATCTCTTTAAGATAACAAGATAATATCAAAACTTAAATCATTTCAGTCCATTGAACGAGATTCAGATTTCATCCAGTTAATTATCATCCCTAATAACATCCATATTATCAAACAAAAACATCATCTTATTAAATTAACATTCAATTAATTATTAAGTCAATCTAGATCTAAAACACCTCTTCAATTTTCTTCATCCCATTACATAATAGCTTTCATACAAATAAACCTATTATTCCAAAGAATACATTCTTAATCTATTTAATACTAGCTGTACCCGGCCACGCATTGCTGTGGCCCAGTCTGGTAAAAGCGCGTGTTGCTTTTACGTCCAACAGATGGTGCTGTTTTTCAAAAAAGCATGTTTTTACCTGTCACAGGTGTGACATCTATATAATATAGGTATATAAAAACACGCGCGTATTCGAAGGCAACGTTGTGTCAAAATTTCAAAGCAATCGGTGAAGAACTTTCGGAGATTTAAGATTTTGAACAAACGAACATTTACATTTTTATTTATATAGATATATATATATATTAAAGGGAAAAGAGCGTTTCTGCCAACTGATGACTTGTCCTTCTCCCCTCTGAATCCAGGCTGATCATCCAGCTAAGAAATGAGGCAGCTTGGGTAACCTGATATGAACAGATCTACCTTTTGGTCAGACAAGGAATGTACTTGACGTGCATTTTGACTGCTGTCGAGGGAGAAGCTTTTGGCATAATACGACAAAGGATTGCAGATGTGAACAAAACAACAAGATAGGCTTTTTCGTGACAACCATGTAAGCATCTGAAAGTGATTAATGCAGATGGACCTTTCTCATTTGACTGTTTTCTGGAAGAAAATGTCATCAAAGAGGCTGATGTTGGCGTTACTGCAGCTGATACAAAGGGAACTACAGTAGTGGCCAAAATTGTGGAAACCTTTTGGGAAAAGTGTATTTTTGAGGTTTGATGGCTAATAACACCACTTTTTTGGGGGGAGTAGTACCATAAAATTATATATCAATGGAAAGAAAATTCAATCAAGAATGTAATGCAACATAGTTTGTTCAATTATCTGTACTGTATTCTATGGAAAGTTATAGCCAAATCACCAGAAAAAGGAAGCACAACTTGCTTAGGTTGATCTCAGGGAGCTTTCCTTCATCTGATGGTAGCCAATGAGCATGAGTGTTTAGAGAGCCAATCAGGTGTCATCTTGTTTTGGCAATGAGCCAATCAGATCACAGTAAGATTCAGTTATTGATGTCCTGTATTGAAGCTGAGAGGAGGACATTTGTCAGTGTGTTATGTGATCGCTGTCAAGTTGGTTGGGGGTTTTTTTGTGTTCTTTCATTGAGTGAGCTTGTAAAATGTAATAAAATTAAAGTCATGGTGCAAAGAGTTGACTGGTTGCCCAGAAAGCGATGTAAAATAGTATTATTAAGTGACCAAGGCTACAGTTATAAATAAATTAGAAGAAAAATGGGTGGAAACTTAACCAAAGGTGGCATTTCTACTGTACACTTTTCCCAAAAGGTTTCCACAATTTTGGCCACTACTGTAAAGTGGTGGTTGTGGTGGGGAGACACAGTTACCAATCACCTGTCCTGGAAAGTGGGCATTTCTCTCTTCTTTCCTTTAAAAAAAAACCCAGAGGGAGGAAGAAATTCTGAATATTCTTGGGAAAACAAAAACCCAAACTCTTATCGCTGGAAACCGATCAAGACATCTTCCCGTCGAGGAATCCTGCCGTTTCTTCGCTAACAAAGACCTGCGCTGAGAGTGGAAGGACCCAGGCGAGCTCAAATGTCCTCTCCATTTTCAAAGCTCCCAGAGGATGGGAAGCAGATTCTTCTTCATTTCATTTTCTGAAATTGGCTTTTGCTTTGAAAATTGGTTGAAAAATCCCACAGGTCCAGACTTCTTCTACCATTTAAAAGCCAATAAACATTTCCATTTATCCAAGGCAAAGGGCAAAGGGCAGGGAAGGGTCTTCACTTCTGTTGGGGGTCCAGGAAGCATCCAACTCAGGCCATCTAGCTGACCCTCCCTTCACCTTTAAGGAGGAGAAATAAAAGGGGGCTTCCTTCCTTCTAGGCCAGGGGTAGGCAACCTTGGCTCTTTTATGACTCGTGGACTTCAACTCCCAGAATTCCTCAGCCAGCCATGCTGAGGGGAAAGGGAGAGGTTTCCAAGCTGAGCCGTGCTGGCTCAGGGATTCTGGGAGTTGAAGTCCACGAGTCATGAGGGGGCCATAGTTCCCCCATGCTGGCTCAGGAATTCTGGGAGTTGAAGTCCACGAGTCATAAAAGAGCCAAGGTTGCCTACCCCTGTAAATCTAGGCAAACATTAAAGGTGCTGGTTTCGCAGTATAAGCCCAAATGTGCTCCCTCAAAATATCTTTTTAGAAAAGTGTCATGTTTGCATGAGAAATTTCAGGGTAAGCCACACATAAACATTTAATCACTTATCCAATTTATTAACACCCTAATGATGAATTGACTAATTAATCCATTACCCACTGGAGGCTGTCTAGTTTCACATTATGAGAATTAATGCCATCGACTTAGCAACTGATAATTTATTTTGTTAGTGTAATTACTGGGGGTTTAAAGTTCCACCCAGAGTCAACACCCAAACCTGATTCCTTCATAAAAACAACACAAGGGACCCCCTCCCCCAACTTTTTAAGGCCCAACCAGCACTGAAAGGTCACCTCCTCCTAGCAGTGCTGAAGGATGAGGAAGCCTTACCTGCTCTTCACGTAATTGATGATGGCTTTGGCTTGATCTATGGTGAAGAACTCAAACCCGCTGCTTATCTCCGAATTGCTCAGCCCGATGCCAGCCATGGCGCTGGCAAGTTCCTGGATGTTCTCTTCCAGGGTCATGTGATAGGCTGAAATGCAAAGGGGAGAGGAGTGAGCACTTGTGGTTCAATGCGGCTGCAGTGTGCAAACAGTTCTCCTGACTCCAGAAAACCCACTCAGAAGAAAAGACTCCTGTACACATGCCTTGGCTTCCATACTATGGATCAGGTGAAAACTAACGTGCACATTAAAGAAAAGGCTTTGCATGTTGCTGTTGTTGTTGTTAGTTGCGAAGTCGTGTCTGACCCATCGCGACCCCATGGACAAAGTTCCTCCAGTCCTTCCTGTCCTCTACCATCTTCTGGAGTCCATTTAAGCTTATGCCTACTGCTTCAGGGACTCCATCCAGCCACCTCATTCTCTGTCGTCCCCTTCTTCTATTGCCCTCGATCTTTCCCAATAGAATAGAATAGAGTAGAATAGGAATAGAATAGGAATAGAATAGGAATAGAACAAAAAAATTTGTTGTTGTTAGTTGCGAAGTTGTGTCCGACCCATCGCAACCCCAGGGACAACGTTCCTCCAGGCCTTCCTGTCCTCTACCATCTTCTGGAGTCCATTTAAGCTCACGCCTACTGCTTCAGTGATTCTATCCAGCCACCTCCTTCTCTGTCGTCCCCTTCTTCTATTGCCCTCCATCTTTCCCAGCATTAGGCTCTTCTCCAGTGAGTCCTTCCTTCTCATGAGGTGGCCAAAGTACTTGAGTTTCAACTTCAGGATCTGGCCTTCTAAAGAGCAGTCATGGTTGATCTCCTCTAGGACTGACCGGTTTGATCGCCTTGCAGTCCAGGGGACTCGCAGGAGTCTTCTCCAGCACCATAGTTCAAAGACCTCCATTCTTCGGCGCTCAGCCTTTCGTACGGTCCAACTTTCACAGCCATACATTGCAACTGGGATTTGCATACATAACGTAAACATAAAGTGACAGTGGAGGGTGTGGCTTATTAGGAAAAGGTTCCCAAACATGCTGGGACATTCCTATGGTTACCGCCATGTTTGTGTTTTGAGGCTCCTGGGAAAAGAAGGAGCAGATCTTGGCCAAGCTGGAACCAAGGGAGGGTTATTTTCAGCAGACTGGCTAGGAGGTGTATGAATTGCCCGGCCTCCAAACTGTCCCATTTAGTGGACAGGGACTCAAGATTTAAGCTCTGCTGTTCCTCACTGGTGAAGATCGTGGTGGTGGACTCCAAGCATGAGAGTTCAGCTGAAATGACTCAGGCCCCTAGAAGTAAAAATGCCGCTGGACTCGAAACAGTTTTCAAGAAAAGATTGAGCCACTATTTGTCTGCGCCGGTCTGAGGGTTCCTGCACTAGGCAGGGCGATGGACTGAAGAACTTCCAAAATCTCCTTCAGCCCTAAGATTCTATGGTGTGGACATGTTTATACAAAGGACATTTAACCTTTGACTGGACCTCCTTCCAGGTTTCACAGGACTTCTCAGTCCTTGTTTATCTCCATAGGTGAGATGCTCTGGGTATCAGATGTTCTCCTGATAGTCAAACAGGGAGGCTTTGGTGACAAAGGGGCTGAAAGGGGCCCTGCTCACTGAATAGGCCAGTTTATCCTCTGCATGGGCTGTGGGGCAGAGGGCTGGCCTGCCCTGGCCCACCTCCAAGTAGGTTGGGAGATGTTAGATCTAATGCAGCAGCAGCCTGATCTGAGCCAAGAGCTGAGGAGCCAATCTTTAATTGCTTGGATTTGTTCGTTCAGTTTAAATGGATATATACAATGGCGACGTAAGAATGATGTTTTAGTAAATGAATTTTAAAGTAAATTCTCGGGATAG